AGGGCTCAAATCCTGCAAATCAAGTCTGCGAACCTGAGCTCCTGTGACCATGCTTTGACTGGGAGGGCTCTGCTGCAGTGTCACCATCTGGGTTGCTGCATCATGAGGCAGGATCAGGCAGAGCACTAGACAACACACAGATACGGGCGGGTCAGAGCGGACAGAGATTGATACATGAAATCCTGGAATGCAAAACACTTAGCTCACTAGCACCTTCAGATATTCCTCTGATGGTGCTGGTGCTATTAAAGGAATTCTTTACCTAATTGGTTTTTTAGTTGTATTAATGCAACTCAGCCCACATAACATCCGGATTCACCTTGGATACACCTGTCTGTCACCATGGATGAAAAAGGAGATGGAGGCAACAAAGATCCTGATATTGGTATCTCCACTGAGTATCTATACTTGGGTTCAATGGAACTGGGATGTGGAGGAGCCTAGAAAAAGACAGGACTGCTTTGGGAAAAATCTGTTCAACTACAAATGCTCCCAGTGTAAATAGGAAGATGATGAGCAGGCACAAACAGACAAGGCATTTCCAGGAAAGTTAAGAATGCTAGGCAGAGAGCTCAGTGCGCCAACAACCTTGCTAGCCACGGAAAAGGCACCATGAAAAAGGCAGAAGGTTTCTTCAGGATGGAAACTGGGCTATTCTGTGGAAGATCCTAGGAAACTCTTCCTGAACCTGGGGGCAGCACAGATGAATGCACAAAGGTGCTCATCTGACAGCTAAGTCGGGGATGATGGAGGCTGGTATAATGGGCAGGTCAGAGGCAGGAGTCTCCTAGTGAAAGGAGGCACACTGAGAGAAACAGGCTAATCTAGGTCTTAAGGGAGATACCAAGCAGCACCAATGCGACAGCGAAGGGGGAGCTAGCCAAGAGCTCCAGAAAAAACAGCTTGATGGCACTGTATCACTTTCAACCCACATCCAGGCCTGGCTGCTGCAGTCAAGTGCTTCCTGATGCAATGAGATTATTACAGAGCTTTTGGCTTAAATGAACCAAACTAACCGGTAGCTCTGTTTTGGCTGAATTAGATCCATACTATTCCTCTCAAAGTAAACACTGGCTGGCTGTCCTGTATTATCAGTGCGCCTACCTCTCAGGGAGTGTGAAGCAACTGCCACCTGTTCATCCATCATTCAAAACACACATGTATAGGAGAGGACCAAGGAAGGCTAGGTGATATATGACAACGCTGAAGCCCCAAAGTACTGGTGAGCTCCGTGCTTCAAGCTCTGTTTTTGCCCTGCTTGTACTCTATCACTCTCTCTTGCTCATGGAGTCGCCAGCCGCATGTGGAGTTACAGCTGGGTTGGAGGTCCTCCCCCTTTTTGTTTGACATCAATGAAACTGCAAGCAGATACGGCTATGAGTCACATTCTTGCTGCCCCTGCTTCAGTGATGTTTACAAAGCCATTACCTTGCCAGGCTCCCAGTTCAGTGCCAAGTGAAGGTCAAGCCTTTGAGGTTGCATTTTCTATTTCACCTCCTTGGATAATGTTATGTCTGCTGGCTGGAAGTTGAATACCAGTGCAGACTGTACCAATTAGCCAAGCCTTCCACATCTGGCATGCAAGCACCTGTGTGCTACCAAAGCGAAATGGTATTTGACCCGGGAGCTTCATCGTCCATGGACAGCAACTTTGTTAAGTGACTGCTCAAGGAAATCTCCTGCCAAGCTGTGCTGTGCTAAGCTGCCCTCTGCTCGGTCAATACTGGATTGCTAAATAGGACTTGGGGCATACACACAAAGCCACCACAGTGTATTTTACTAGCATACCCAGCCTCCTCTGCTGTTGCTTATTGCCATCTTTCAGCACAGTGTCATGGGATGTTTGTATAAAAGGCTTAAATATTCATCTCCCTGGAGGTTCATTTGCACTGTAACATCTCAGACTTGAGCCCTACCTTTTTTAATATATTCTGTGGGATTTGCAGTGCATAAACCAACATACAGTGGTTTATGAGAAGTTTCCTCTGGCAGTGTGTGAAGCCAAAGTTTCTCGGAGCATGGGAGTTTGTGTGAAGGGTGTGAATTTTGCTTCTCGAAGAGCTGCTTTTTTCATTCAGTTGGTTTACAGTCTGCTCAGCCCAGATTCACGTGGAGTTTTGAGCCTGAATGAAATCAAATGCCCAGAGTGAAACAAGCTAGTTTCATGGAAAACCCTATGCAGGCCAAGGTCTGATGCAATGATCATGACATTAGTAGACGGCTCTAAAGATGCACATCCATGTTACTGTAAAAAGATCCAAATATGGATGACCCTGCTAATATGTATTTACTACAACCTCTTTCACAATTGAGAGACCTTTCCAGATCACCCTAACACTAGGGTCAGACTAAAAAAGGTCTATTAAGAGATGACCCCATTCTAAGTACTTATATAACTCCATCACTGTAGGATCTGAAAGTCTGTAATGTGATTATTCCTAACCTGTCCTTCTCAGATAGAAAGTGCAAAGTGGGGCACAGAAAAATAAAAATGGTACAATTAAAGCTACATAGCCTATCCAGGGCAGAAGATTGACCGTGGAGGCTTGGAGTGCACCTCTCACATCCTTTGCACTAGACTGGCGGTTCTCTCAGGAAGCTGCAATTACAACTAACAAGGACATACACACAGTCTCTCTCTGTTTTGCTTCTCCGGCTGTATGTAGAGCAGGCAACGGTTTGGTTGCACTACAACAGAGAACAGAAGAGACACCCTGGTAAATGTTGCTTGAGGCTGAATCCTAAGGGATTCAAGACTGGGTGGCAAGTCTGTGCTACAAACAGAACATTCAAGGTGAAACGTCATCTGTCTTCTTTTGGATGTTGGTTATTCTATTATGCTGTTCAAATCCAATCAATGGCCTGTTTCCAAAGCCATCCTTGTCTATGAGTTCCTGTTATTCTCTTTGTAAAAAGTGAACTTATACTTTAAAAGCAGAGGAGAAGGGGTACCATTGTTTCAGTACTGTTTCTTGCGGTGGGTGGACTACCTTAGAAATACAACAATAGGAAATATTAACCATGAAATGTCATTGCAGATGTACTACAGATTTATGATTTACTATAGGTTCCTCGAAGTTTGTGGATGTTTTCAAGTGACCCTCATAACCACAGCTGAGTAAATCTCGATCAGTTTATAGCTCCAGATCAGAACTATAAGAAATTCTCTCTTCTGACTCCAAAGCGGTTGATTTTGAGTATGCTTAACCCTCAGACTCTGGATATGTGGGTCAAAACCGAAGAACACATTTACAACAGAAACCCTTTCACCATGAATCTGCCTAGTTTTTCTTGAGAACTGAAGGAAAGAAAGCTGTTGTTCCCTCAGCTTTGAAGTAGGGGCATAAACTGGAACCTGTTTAGAATCAACAGCATTAGAGGAGGATGCTACAGTAGTTTATTAAGCAGTCGGGAATTCAAAGAATGTGGGTTCATTTCCCAGCTGTACCACTACATAATGTGATTACTGACAAGTTCATTCTTGATCTCCATGTTTCACCTTATCATCAGCACAATGTAGGCACTTTTGTTCCTCCTTGGTTTGCCTCCTCTCCTTAGACACTAAAGAGATTACAAATGTGATGTATTCCGAATATAATACCCAGCACTGGTGGAGAAGTAAGTTAACCTTGATTAAAATCAGTAGATGCTATAAAAGCAGAAACAGTAACAATCAAAATAGGAACTGAACACTACATGAAAATGCCCCAACCCGTTTGTTGATTCATTTGAATTTCTTACTTCAGAATAATCAATCTCTGAAAAACAGAATGTGCAGAAGCAACATTACTAACATTAAGACTAGCTGGATTTGTTATACCTGGTGTTTAGAAGAAAGAACACAATCACCATAGAAGGGTTTTTGACACTTGATGAGTGTTTGACTCTGCATTGTACTCTGCTTTCTGTTGCTAACTGACTACAACATATACATCTGCTAAAAATTCAAAAACTGGGTATATTTACTGTGATCATGTTTCAGTCAGGCATAAAAATAACAAAATCTTTGCCTTGGCAGAGAAGCGGGAGTGTCCAGGGACATGTATCCTGCAGTTACTCTAGACTTCCCCTGGTATGCGCGTCCCAGTTCAGAGTAGAGCAAGAGGTCCGGATGAGGGACCCAGGTACCATTGTGACAGTCTTCTACAGGAATTCAAAGCTCATGTGTGCCTCACTTTTTGTTCTTGTTTTTCTCCTGGAGGGGCTTTGAAGCTCTTAGGACATCTAGGCTCTAATGTGTACGATGGGATAAGCCTCAATCTTAACAGAAAACCATGTCAATAGCGGTGTTTTCTGCTGTTAGATTTAAGAGGCAATTTCCACAAGCTCTGACAGCTCCTTCTCCTATCAAGTTTCCAGCAACTATTTGGAAGCACAGGAATAGGTAGAAGATGTCTCTAGCTATCACCCCAGAGAGAAATATCTCCCTTGAAGATTACAGCTTCCACATGAGAGAAAAAGACTCCAGTGGGCACCACAACTCCAAGGGAAACCTCAACCTTGAAGAGGGCTCTCTTAAGTCAATAGCAACATGGATGCAGGCAGTGGGAATATAGGCCTGTGTCATGGAAGCATCCTGTTATCCTTGGAGACCTGAGTAGAGCAAGTAAATTGCCCTGGGTATGCAACAGCCCACAGAGAGAGCTCACTTTCTTGGTGGGCTGCGTTTCTATCTGTCTGTATCCGCTGCAAACCCACCATCTCTGTTCCTGAGAACCAGCCTCCCAGTCAACCTCTGCCTCATGAAAGGCAGGAGAGGTCACATCAGGTCTCAGATCTCTGACAGAAAATGCAAAAGGGGCTGGCAGACTCAGTGGGTTTGCAGTTTGCAAAATAAATTAACAAATAAATAAATGAGCAGACAAACTCACTTCTTGGATATGAAAAGTGGCTAAGCTCTACATGACCCAAAATAGAAACGGGTAACTGTTACCATATTGATCCTATACCCCAGGAAGATATCTCCCTCCCCTTTTGCAGTACCACAGTGAGCAGCAAACCTGATGCCCAATTTCTGGTGTCCAAGGAATGCCATGAAGCCTCTGGCAGCTCCATCCAAGGGAGAGAAACGCTTTGGCTCCAGAGAGGATGCAGCCCTTCCACCTCTTGCAGCACAGGTGAGCCTCCAGGCAGCCCTTTCCAGGAAGCCTTCTCCTCCGTCTCCATCTGCTGAATACAAAACAGGCTGCTGCACTCACAGACAAGATAATCAAGGCTGCCCATCAATAAAATATTGCTGTTTCTCTGGGCAATCTTCCTATTTTTTTCTTCTCTATTGTTTACACTCTGGCAGAAAGCGTGTTTAGAAAAGGCTCTGCTTCTCCTGCAATAACTTCTCTTATTAAGGTTACTGTTCCCTAAGCACCACATCCCTCTCAGCAGACATTTTCCCTCCAACCAGTAGCATGTTCCTGGCCTGCCTACTCTTCCAAACAATAAACTGATGAGCAGGACTCACGCTTAAAATAACTGGGCTCATTTTCTCTCTTCAAGCTATGCTTATCTCAGTGCTTTGCAACTGAAGCTGGACAAATGATTGGGAGCAATGAAATAACCAAATGGTCTCACGTCTCTTTCCCCGGTTTGATTGAATGGGCATCATTTTAACTATTTTTAATGTTAATGACTAAAGACAACCAACCTGTCTTGATTAGCTCTGACTGGGCAGAGAAGTCACCTGAGATTTTTCAGTTACCCAGCTGGTGAATGCAAATCCTACACATGCAGAATATTCATGGTGGGAGATACCCTCACTTGCAGGTGCTTTGCACAAGCTCATGCCAGTGAAAATTGTCCTACTAAAAGCTCCTTGAAAGTTGAAAGAACCCAGCTGCTATCAGATCATTAAAAGCGTTTTGCAATCAAAGCATTTGGATCAAAAGAGCTGATTAAATTCTGTTTATCAATGAGAAATATCTGGTGTTGGAGTGAAATCTGACAGAGCCATTGCTCCCACTCTGTCTTTCTGCATAAGAGGACGTGATTCAGGATCCGACTGTTAAGATCAAGACCAAAACACTCAAATACAGTGTGGTTTGTGTGGATTCCCCATCAAATTTGTGTGGGATACCCAATGAAAGTTTGTTTTAAAGTGTCAGGCCAAAAACTGAGGGCATGGAAATGCACTCTGAGATGAGTGCATGGAAATGACAGCAAAGAAATCCTCCTCCAAACTGTTCTTTTCCTTTCAGCCACCCTATCTAATCTAGGGTTGGTGGCACATACAGCTTTATGAACTCTTCTCTCTCCCACACTCATATAAAATCTGCCACTGAGAAACTCAGCTCTTGTTCAAGTCAGAAGGGACTTCGGCAATCCCTCATAAGGAGCACATGGCCATCACCCCTTCCTCCCTCCCCTTCCCTGAGTGCACCATGCAGAATGCCCCATGACGTGAACAGGAGTTTTGCCAGAGTAAGCTCTGCAAGTTCAAGCCTTGCATGCTATAAATAATTAACCTTAAAAATACCCACACATCAAATTCACTGCCTGAGGACTTGTAAATGTGCATAGCAAAAATAATTCTCTTGCTGCCTCTAAAATGTGTTTCTTATTAGAGATCTCTCCTGACCCCAAGAGTGCCCACACTGTATTTCTCTGTCTCTCATACTTTCACAGACGCGCACACACACACACAGACACACAGATGTTTGCTCATTTCTAAACCTGGCAGCTTTAGTAGTAACGGCAGTTACAGCAATAGACATTTTGAGTATTTATCATACGCATATGTTGTGAAAGTCTTTGGGGTTTCAGAATAAGATCTTTTGCCCTTGTAGAAAGAAAAATAAATATATAAAAACAAAACGTTACAAATTTGGCAAAGATCACATCACAACATCAATTCAGACCCTCATCAGAGCGAAGCAAATAACAGTGTGCAGATTTTATTAAAAGTAAAAGAATGAAAAAACTCTTTTCCACAACTGAGGAACTTAGAAGCCACAAATAAGTACGGCTGAACTCTTGCTTTGCCTATGGTAATAAGCTGTTCTTCCCCTGGTGGACTACAAAGGATTGTTTGCTTCACCCTGCACTGCACTGCTTTCTCTGAGAGCTGTCAGTTAAAAAATAGATTGCATTGACCAAAAAAGAAAACATTTTGTTTAGTAGCCAGGGAATCATGATCCCCCCTCTGCCCTAGCTTTAAATGTTTTCTGAAGTAAAAATAACATTTTTATGGACGGATGCTTTTCTATGCAAGGTGCCTTCTGTTCTGCTTCCCACTATGTGATTGCTGTTCAGTTTCCACCAAGATGCAACATCACTTGATCTCAACTTTAACAATTCTTAATCAGAACTAAAGCTGATTTATTGGCACAACTGGGTGCAGAGCAGCCATGTGTTAATGACCTCCTTATTCTGGGTGCAGAGAAAATCACAACCACGAGCACAACAATTCAAAGTACTTTTTCAGGAGAAGGAAAATTCTTTTTGCTGTCATTGGGATTGTAGTCACTGGGATCAGGCATAAGAGGGAGACATGGTCACATTATAGGGCAATTTAGGGTTTAATTCCATTCTTTTTACTCTTAACTGATGATAACATGAGATCAGAATTTCCACAAATGAAAATACGGAATAACTATGGGTTCCACTGAGGCTGCTCTGATTTATGCTGATGGAAACAAAGCAGTGTCTTGCCTCAAGGGCTTTAGCTTTTAAAAAGGATTTATTAAAGGGGTAAAATGATGCCATAGGAGACAAAAAAAATAGAGTCAAGTTCCCTACTCTGAATAGGTTCAACCCAAACAAGAAGTTCTGAGCTTGATGCTGAACTCACAGAGTGAGCTTTTGGACCTATGCTCTGCAAAAAGTCAGATTAGATGAGCGCAGTGATTCCTTCTGGCCTTAAAACCTCCAATCTATGAGATGACACTATGCAATCCAAGATAAACATTTCCTGAAAGATAATTTGCCTAGTTTCTCTGTTTTCCTTTCTACTTCCTGTTTGTTCACTCTGCTGCTGCTACATCTTTCCTTTCAATGAAATGAAATGTTCTTCAGCTCATGGAAGAAATATTACTAAGATAATGTTACTAATAATTCCCAGCAGAACCCCTCGGTGGGCAATGCTTATTCATCAAATTTGACATTGATTTGCAATTTTGATACTCACAGCAACCTGATCTTTGCAGAAATTGGCACCTTTACACTGTCTTTTGAGCTGGAGGGTATTTAGAATCATTCTTAAGACACTATAAACCATGATTCTTATCCCACAAGAGGATTTTACACAGAGCTTTGATTGGAATTTTGCATCAGTTATATTAAATCTGAACATTTTCTAAGCAGTCAGGCAAGTTTAAACTCCAATGGAGCCAAAACATTCGCAGCTATATAACAGAGAGCTTTTAGTGCTAATAAATGTCATTTTCCTCCTGTCTACAACATGTCACTAGATTCCCCCAGCATGAAATGAAACTGCTCCTAAAGAATGCTAACAGAGCCCCAGAATACATTTCTACCTCCTTGGACCCCTAAAGAGGGACAGCAAATGTAATTTCAAACTCTAGTGCTAACAACATAATTTGGCTTTGTCCTCAAGGCCATGCTTGTCTCTCTGATGAAGTGAAAGGGCTGACTGGGATGGAGGGGTTCCTAAGCGCAGATTTCACTTCAGCCATAGATAGCGTTGGGTATTCTAGGCAGGTCTCCAGACTCCTGAGAGCCAAAATCAGAGAGGCAGAATACAGTGTTGTAACATCTATTTTCAGAGATACCTTTCAGCTCCCTCCGTCCTTCCAAATACAGTTCCTACAGCTGTGTTTAGAGTTCCTACCATGTAACATATTGCTCACCCTTACAGAATCAACCCAGCGTACTGCTAAGCCAAGATAGTGCATATAATGGCATGGGGCCTTCAGCTGCCTCTGGCTGCCTGCTCATATCCTTTCCCCTGCGCATGTGTGTGGGATCCCACATGCCAACAGTTCACACCAAGAACAGAGCAAGAGCAACTAGCAAGATGATGTAGACAGCTATAAGTTAAGAGACTCACTCTGATAAATCTGCACTAAAGTAGATCCTCAGCTACACTGGCTACACCATCTAGGAATAAATAGATAGAAGAGAAAACGAGCAATAGGGGAATCTAAATCAGATTACAATCCTACTGAATGTAGCCCAACTTTATCTCCCAATTTACTGTTTGTAGCCTGAGCCAATGAAACGTATTACCTCATAGCAAATGAATTAACATGCTTCATGGGAGCTTTTGGTGACCTGTCAAGAGTGTTGCCCTGGACCTATTACCCAGTGTAACCTTATTAAATAGAGAATAAACCATGATGCACCAAAGGCTCCAAATGCAAAAGAAAAACCTCCTTGTATCCACTAAACGCATGCAAGTGAATTCTGATGGTAAGACTATACAAGGTTTCTGGTGTAAATTCTCAGCATAACGACACTAAAGTTTCTGAAACATTCATTTTAATGACTGAGATCTTCCAGGCTCAATCCCTTTCCCAGTTACAGTCCCAGTCCCAGAAAGCTCTCCAAACTTTTTTTTGTTATTAAAATAGAGAAGGAAGGGGAGTTTTTTCTTTTTAATTAAATCCAAATGCAGTACAAGTTTGCACCAAATAACAAAAAGATATAACTAAAGCTATTTTTACATTCTCTACTCAGGCTGGACCATAGACAATCTCTGAGATGTTCCTCTACGTAGAAGGTAAGACCAGGCTTAAGAGATGAATTTTAATGCATAGGGATGCCTCCCTTGGACTTGTGCATTACAGACCCTACATTCCTTGTCCCATCCTCCAGTGAAGGATGGGAAAAGATGGGAAAAACAAAAACAGTCATATTAATAAAGTCACAAAGACTAATTATTTATAGGCAGGTAGCCAGTATCCACCTGCCATAGCCTGGGACTGCACATTCCCCCCAGACACCTGAACTTCGAGCAAACACAACTGAGGCCACAGACAGCTTTGGGGGAAGAGGAAATTTGGCTTTTTTGCTCCTGTTTAATCTTTAAATAAAATAGTATGGCTCCAAATGGAGGTGGCGAATGTTTCCACTGACAGCAAGAGGGTTCGCTGGGGTCACTGTGGAATTCAAGACCATCTCAAGGTAACAGGCAACATGAATAATCTTGGGACTCTGGCTGAACCCAGATACTGAATCATCCTTTGGCAATGACTGTCCATAGAGCTTACAAGCAG